TGCGGCCCTCCAAGGGCATTTACCCAACCTTCGCTCAGGGTCAACCTAAGTCTGAAACTACTTGAAGCACACAACAACAACAACAACAACAACAACAATCCTATCTCATCAGCCAAAAGCAGACCCACACTTCCCACTGAAATACGAATAAGTTTATATTTGTTTAAATTGTTCTTCATTTTAATTGTTGTATTTTTAAAGTATTTTTGCACTACAAATAAGATATGTGCAATGTGCATAGGAATCCATGTATTTTTCAAATTATAATCCGGCCCTCCAACAGTTTGAAGGACTGTGACCTGGCCCTCTGTTGAAAAAGTTTGGGGACCCCTGCTCTAGACTTTACTTAAGAGAATGAAACTGAAAGAACTGCAAAAGTAAAACCAAAATAGATCAAAAAAGCAATTGTCAGACTATTTTTGACGATATTCGTGATAAAATACCAAAGGCCAACTGTGATTCAGCTTTTAATTGGTCATTAAGCAAGTAATTAGTACATCTAATCTGTTTCTCAACCAATGCACTTGACTCTAATATAATGCAATGTTATTGAGTATTATTTTGCTATAGACTGCTTCCAGATAGATGCCTACAAAACTATTCTACCTTTTTTTTGTTTTTGAATAGATTTGTAGAAAGAAAAAGATGGGAAAAGAAATGGGAAAATGCAAGAGGATTACAGCTGAGGAACAAGGACGTCTAAACCCAACTCTCCATAAAATTCCATGAATGAGGCAGGATAATTGCAAAATAAATCCTTGCCTGGAAGCATCCAGGGCATCATTAGGTAAAGGTAAAGGTTTTCCCTTACATTAAGTCCAGTCGTGTCCAACTCTGGGGGTTGGTGCTCATCTCCATTTCTAAGCTGAAGAACTGGCGTTGTCCATAGACATCTCCAAGGTTATGTGGCCAGCATGACTGCATGGAGTGCCATTACCTTCCCGCCAAAGCAGTACCTATTGTTCTACTCATATTTGCATGTTTTTGAACTGCTAGGTTGGCAGAAGGTGGGGCTGACAGCAGAAGCTCACACTGCTCCTCGGATTCAAACCTGCAGCTTTTCGGTCAACAAGTTTAAGAGATCAGCGGTTTAACCCATTGCGCCACGGGGGGCAAATACCAATGGAAAGAAGAAAATGAGTAATAGCAACTCAATATTTCTCCCATTCAATTTTTTTTTATCAGAAATAGAATATCTCTTTGATTTGACCATGCAGAGAGTTTAAGGTGCCAGCAACCATCATCTGGAATTCCAAAATCCAAAATTTTCCACATGGTGGCTGACATAGTATCACCTTTGTTTTTGATTGTTCAATAAACACAAACTTTTTTTCATGGACAAAATTATTTAACATATTATGTATAAAGTTACCTTTGGATTATGTGTATAAATTATATATAAAGCATAAAGGATTTTTTTGTTTAGACTTTGGTCTCATCACCAAGATTTTTTATGTATATGCAAGTATTATGTATATGTATATATAAAAAATATACATAATACATAATATTTTTGGTCCTAAGCATATCAGATAAAGAATACTCAACCTGTATATATGTTTATTTAATAACCGTGCACAATCCCAGGGCTGTTGAGTCATTCAGGCTTAAGAAATTCTAAAAGAGAGCAAAACATCTGTTTCAATAAATTGGTAAAATTGTGCTGACCTTGGGAGCATGACATTGTCATAAACTCCGGATAACCTCATCCATGCTGGCCAATGCCTCCCTATGGGGTTGATGCATTGCATGTGGATCCTGGCCTATTGAAATATGTACAGCAGTCGTAACCTAACCACAGTGGAAAAGTTTTTTGAAGAAAGAAATGTACATTCAATAGCAGCTCATTTCATTGCTTTGGGTGGAAAATGATTCCCTCTACTGCTGATTTTCCATGGAAAGGAGTGAGATCCAGACACTGCACAAGAGTGTAGTAACCACAACACAATCTCTGTGCAAAAATCACATTGTATAGAGGAACTGCAGTTTTTGAGAATTGCAAAAATCCCTGAAACATTGTCAGTGACAGAAAAAGCCATTTTCATTTTCTTCAGTTTACAAACAAAATTATTGGACACAGCATTCAAGAACTCCTAGTTCCTTTTCCTTTTAATGCTTCTTATTAAGCTGCTTTCAGCTAACCCATCTCTTTTACAGCCAGGATGCTGTTCAAGTATCATTTTATGGGGTTAACCTAAGCTTACACACTCTCTCTATGCAATGCCAGCCACTGTGAATTATTGTAAGTAGACACACTTTGGGCACTTGCTTATATCTTCAAGGCTAGAGTTTCACATGGCAGAGAAAACAGAACAAATTGCTTTAATTTAATTCTATACAGCTGACATTCTTGCCATAGCATCACTCACGAGCAGGGATTTGTACATTAACAAACCTTCTCCCTAGACTCTAGAGACGGAAGAAGTGCTAATGAATCTGGAAGGAGCTTTGTTAAAGATTGAGACAGGTGGATAATGATTTCTTCTGGTTTGAGGCAGCAGTGCAATAATTTCATCAGTCTTGGTATTTCTCATAAAATCACTGGCATGTAGTTTAGATTTTTCATTGATATGAGAGAAAATATATCAATCCTACCTTGATCCCCTGGACCTTAATAATTACAGACCATTCTCTAACCTTCCTTTTTTAAGCAAAGGGATTGAGAAGGCAGTTGCCTTCCAACTCCAGGCAGTCTTGGATGACACACACTTCCTTGACCCATTTCAAACCAACTTTAGAGTTTGATAGAGAGTTGAGACTACTGTGGTCGCCTTAGTGGATCATCTCCATCTCAACACTGACAGGGGGAGTGTGTTTTTGTTGGTGCTTCTAGACCTCTCAGCAGCCTTTGAGACCATCAACCATGGTATCCTTTTGGAATGCCTGGAGAGGCTGGGAATCAGAGGCACTGTGCTGCAGTGGTTCCAGTTGTACCTCCTAGGCAGGTTCCAAATGGTGGTGCTTGGGGATAGCTGCTTCTCAAAAAGGAGCTGTTATGTGGCATCCTACAAGGTGGCATTCTATCCCCAGTGCTTTTAAATATTTACATGAAACCACTGGGAGAGATCATCCAAAGGCATGGGGTGGGGTGTTATTTGTTTGCTGGTGGCGCCCAAATGTATTTCTCCATGTTTTCAAAAGCAGCCTCAGCTAAGGATAGTGTGTCTTGTCTGAATGAATACCTGGGGGAGGTAATGGGCCGGATGAGGAAAAACAAATTGAAGCTGAATCCAAACAAAACAGAGGTGCTTGCCATCAAGGGTCCTAATCTGGGGATGGTGATATGTCAGCCAGTTCTGGATGGAGTTACTCCTTGATCTGTCTCTCCAAATGTCAGCCCAGATAGATTGACGGTCAGGAGTGCTTGCTATCAGCTTCGGCTGATACATCAGCGGTGCCCCTTCCTAGATTTGGAGGACCTGAAGATGGTAGTGCATGCACTGGTGACCTCAAGGCTGGACTTCTGCAATGCGCTTTACACTGGGTTACTTTTTTACCAAGTTCAGAAACTCCAGTTGGTTCAAAATATGGCAGCCAGACTAATTACAGGAATATTCACCCTTATACTAAACTACACTCCACTGGCTGCCAATTAGTTTCCAGGAAAAGTACAAAGTGTTGGTTTTGACCTCTAAAGCCCTACATAGTTTGGATCCAGGTTATGTACAGGAACACTTTCTCCCATACAATCGACCCCAAATACTGAGATCCTCTAGGTCCCGTCCCGGCTACTCCAACCAGCCAGGACCCGACTGGCAATCATCACCCAGAGGACCATTTCATCGGCTGCCCCAAGACTGTGGAATGACCTGCCAGAAGAGCTCCTACAGCTAATCAGCTGCTGGAATGTAAAACATGCCTGAAGACCTATCTCTTCTGACCAGCCTACCCAGCTAGTTTTAATCGTGAATTTTAAACTCATGTCCTGTGTCCACTATATTTAATCATTGTTCTATATATTTTAATATATGTATTTTGTAAAAAAAAATATGTTTTAGTATGTGTATTTTATATAATTATTATGTGTTTTTAGCTATGTTGTAACCCTTAGTGAGCCACAAGGAAAGGTAAGAGATAAAATTATTATTGTCACAATTATCATTATTATTATTCATTTGGAGCCAGGATTAATCCTGGCTGCTCTTTATCAGGTATAAAGTGGAGCTCTTCTGCTACCATCTGTAAGAAGAAAGGAGATTCATGTCACAATGTTAAAATTTATCCATCCATTACATATTTAGAGATATAATTTCTTGGCAGATTTTTCATAGATCAACTTCAACAGGGAAGATGAACTTAGTTTAATGATGCAAGTCTCAATGTACAAAAATGACTGAAATGTAGACTCAGGCGAAAGCAAATGGTTGTAGCCTGTCTTAACATACACATTTTCTCACTTTAATAACTATTTGCCATCCCAACCATATTCTAATATTGATTCACTACATGTGCCCCAGTCTTCATGTGTAAAATGTTGGTGGGTACATGGTAGATGGTAGTGTTGTGAAACCTTTCAACTTCTTAAAAATAAGAATGAATCAAAAGCCACGTTTTAGCCAAGACTTCAGAATGAAAGGTTAACTACCCAATCCCATACATGACCCATTTTGTCCCAAAACCTGTAACAGCAAAAATATAAAAAATATTATCTTCACGTAAATATTGTATAAATTCATGGATAAGTAGAGACTAAGTTTTGGAACTCAAAATATGGATTTTAATATGGCATGTGAATAAGTTGAGAGTCATTCTGTGGAAAGGGGGAAGCACTGCTGCCCCTGGCTATTGCTGCCACCTCCAGAAACTGATGTCATTTATTATATGTATTTGTTGACCCGGCCACTTAGAGTTGTATATGAAATAACTCAACAATCCCTTTCTGGTACTGACAGTCTGGGCCCTGCTGTTCTATCGAGTAAACTTGAGTCAGCTGATGAAAAGAGAGAAATCTGAGTATACCCTGAGATCACTTCCTCAGTTTATCCCTACGAGATTAGAGTGTCACCCAGCAGCTCAGGGGTCTACCAACAGCTCAGCTCATGGGAGGCTACTCTTTGAAAACTTTGGTGGTGCGTTTTGAATGCAACATTTTTTCAAGGAGCTAGATGAGTCTCTCACCAGGGACATTCCAGTTTGCACTGTAAAGTCCTTTTTGAAAGAAAGATCCCTTTTTCTTTAAACAGCTTATAAAAACTTGAACAGGTATGTAAACAGCATGTCATTTAACCATTGGGCTTAACAAGGAAATAATAATCATAAAGAGAAGAGTTATCTATCTGTCACCTCTTTGTGATTAAGATTGAAGCCCTACAGCTTTGTGGTGTTGGGCACCATTTGTGCATCGGGATAAAGAGGCTTGTTGTTCTCCTGTGTTTGTCCAAGCGCAGTGGCAGCACGTCTGTAAAACAACAACTCCAGAGCACTGCTTTCAAGCTTGCGTTTCTGTTTAAAGAAAAGTCTCGGCTTCAGCACCGCACTTGAGCTGTTTGACAGGCCAGCAGATTTATGCACCATCAGCTGCTGCTATATGAAATGCTACACACATAGTTAAAATTAGAAATTAATCGGATCGGGTTTCCAAGGCTGGATGTTGCTATACATCCCACAGACAGACTGGGCCCCTTGGCCTGGGATTCCCAGGGCTAATGGATGGATCGCTTGGCAAGAACACAAGCCTCTGCTATTCAGCTCATCCAAAAAATCCACATCCCTTTGCTATCAAAACACCTAGTTATGTTTGATGCGTTGGCAACATATTTGGAGGCACCGTTGCACTCTGCTAGGAAAAAAGGGCCTCTCAAAGGGACACAGCTTGGCAAAAAGCCAAGTGCAAAACCTCTTTGCTTTTATGAAAGCACATCTTTAAAGGTTTTAATTAAAATAAATACATCACATTATCTACTGTTTGGTGGAGGCAGGGGAGAAGGATGTTGTCTTTCTGTCTGAAATAGAGAATATGTATTTAGCACTATAAAATAGAGTGTCTTAAAAAAAATAAGATTGCCAGGGGAAAAAAGGGTAAGAAATAAGTCATAGTAATACAAAAGCAGAGTTTGCAAATCCTTTTTCTATTCATTTATAATTGCATAGTTTATGTCTTACATCTTGAAGCCAAAATGAAGAGTCATTGTCTAGATCAGTATTTTCAACCTTCCTAATGGCGTGAACCCTTAATACAGTTCTTCATGTGGTGGTGACCCCCAACCATAAAAGTATTTTTGTTGTTACTTCATAACTGTAATTTTGCTACTGTTATGAATCATCATGTAAATATCTGATATGCAGGATGTATTTTCATTCACTGGACCAAATTTGGCATAAATACCTGAGACACCCAAATCTGAATACTGGTGGGGTCAAAGGGGGGATTGATTTTATCATTTGGGGGTTGTAGTTGCTGGGATTTATTGTTCACCTACAATCAAAAAGCATTCTGAACTCCACCAATGATGGAATTGAACCAAACTTGGCACATAAAACTCCCATGACCAACAAAAAATACTGGAAGGGTTTGGTGGGCATTGACTTTGAGTTTTGGAGTTGTAGTTCACCTACATCCAAAGAGTACTGTGGACTCAAACAATGATGGATCTGGACCAAATTTGGCATGAATACTCAATATGGCCAAATGTGAACACTGGTGAATTTTGGGGAAAATAGACCTTGACATTTGAGAGTTGTAGTTGCTGGGATTTATAGTTCACCTACAATCAAAGAGAATTCTGCACCCCACCAATGATAGAATTGGGCCAAATTTCCCACACAGAACCCCCATGACCAACAGAAAATACTGTGTTTTATGATGATCTTTGTGTCCCGTCCCCCCCCCCCCCCCCCCCCTCCCATGACTTCCCCAGGGATCCAGACCTTCAGGTTGAAAAACACTGCTCTAGATCAAGTCTTCTTTCAATTAACTAGACAGACAGATAAGACCTAGAAAAGCACATGTAGATTTTATTTTGAAGTAAAGGCTCAAAAATTACTTATCTAGTAGTCAGATTTTTAGGATTTTCAAAATAGCAATAAGATACAGTCAATATTAAGGCCATGCAGTGCTGATAATCAGTAAATAGCAATTAAAAAGTTTGTGTTCTAGCAAAATGTCAAATGAAATTATTGAGTATTTATTTATTTATTTATTTACAATATTTCTATCCCGCCTTTCTCAGCCCGAGTTCCCTTTGTTATCACATATTGTTCACATTTATCAATTACATGGGACACATACTTCCGTTTTTATGAATGGCCCACATCCCAAAATAAAGGATTTTGGTATTCTGTTCTGTCTATATATAAAAAATATTTCCAATCTTTAAATATTGGAAATTCTTTATAATAAGGTGCACCTGCCATTTCTATAAGGAATAATCCTCCTAACTTTCATTATAAAGGTTATCTCTCATAACAAATTACATTTGGCAATCCCACAGTTACCTGTAAAAGTTGCTTTATTTTTAATGAGAGTACTTGAAAACAAAAATGTGAAGTAGAAATAATGTTACTTTTAGCAATATTTTGATGTACCCTAAAGCAAATATTTTCTCATTGCCCTTCATTTTGAGAGACATTCTGAAGGAGTTCTTCAGTTTTTATGCCATTGACTTATCACTTACTTGTGTCCCTTCAAGTAATAAAACATAGCAAGTTGTGACACAGGTTACTTTAAAAATATTGTAATAGTAACAATAGCATATTACTTTTTAAAATAATGCTGTGTGAGAAAAAATGGGAATGGATTCCTTCTAAAACAATAACATTTCAAGCTCTGATATACAGACACATTGAAAGAGATTCTATATGTAATTTAAAACTTTTCATGGAAACGACTATGAGCACACACCACGACTGGATCTACACTGCCATATAATCCAGGTTAAGAATGCAGATTGACTGCTTTGAACTGGATTGTATGAATCTGCACTGCCACATAATCCAGTTCAATGCATTTATTCTGCATTAAGAAACTAGATTATATACCAGTATAGATGGGGCCCATGGCTGAGTCGAGTGTACGTTTCTTTTCTTCCTTAGTCTCAGGGTGTATACAGTGCCAGAAACTGGGAAGAATGGGGAGGGTTTGCTTGTCCACACTGAATACTGCTAGATTTCTTTATGTCTTAAAATTCTTTATGTCTTTGAATTCTTCTGTCAAGTCTGCTTTAAAATCCATGGGTTTCAGATAAGAATAAGATGTACTTGAAGTCAATGAATTTAGATGAATCTTGATAAATACCCCCCCCCCCTTTTGAGGTTGGCTGAACAATTTTAGAGTATCTCAGGAATATCTTTGGGGCAGAGAGAAATCTAATATGTGAACATATTGCAGCAGTAAATTCTGCCGCAGCATAGTAAATGGGCATGAAGTCAATTTCCAGTCCATTATCATCGAAGGTAGGAGACAATGCTTCATGGTTATTACAGAATTTCTTCTGCAAAGGAAGATTGCATTTACACAAGATCTTGGATTACAGCCTTCAGGAATGGTCTCAAAATGGAAAATGGTGGTTGTATCTCCTGGGGGCCAAAAGCTCCCCTCCACTTGCACCTGGTGAAATAATTACAAGCATTTCCTTCAAGTTCAGCCCTTTTCACAGTTCTGCAAAGAGCCAGATAATATTACTGCAATGTGCTGTGCCTAGTGCCACCCTTGAAAATTCTTGGAAGCCAGAGCAGGTGCAGTTTGCTCCAGTTTAGCAAGTGTTAGCTCTTGGGGCCATATTATTCAACTTAAGCACAAAAAAGAGGACTGCTTCTCTTCCTGTATGCAGTTTAAATTAACCACCATCAGAAATCCCTGTGCTTGGCCATTCGGAAATGGTGGCTGATATGTTTGCAATAGAAGAGGTACAGGTTTGATTCTCCTAGACATTGGTTCTATCAAACTGCCTTTGGCAGTGATTCCAAAATAAATACTTCTAATGGCGTGCCTATAACTTATATTTTGCACTTGGGGATAAATTTGTCCCAAATCAGTAATTCCATGCAGGCAAAGGCAGGCAGGCTGAGTCATGAGGTACAATGGCAACCCTGGTTTGCTGGAAGCCCTATACTCTCCTTTAAGCTGAGGCTTCGCTACACCAGGATGGACTGCAATCTCTGGAGTGGAATCTCCATATTGGACTCCTCTCAGAACATTCAGGGCAAGCAATCACATGGAGCTGGAATTTCTGACTTGTAGGAAGAGCCAGAGCTACTCTGGCTAGGAACCCAGTCCAGATTTTGTTTCTCTCTCTTTGTTAGAACTGGTTTAGGGGGCAAAAAGGCCTCTTTTGCGCTGTTTGTAGGTCAAAACAGCATTTGGGTGTCAAAACATCACTCTAGGCGAGTGGTTCTCAACCTGGGGTCCCTAGATGTTTTTGGCCTACAACTCCCAGAAATCCCAGCCAGTTTACCAGCTGTTATGATTTCTGGGGGTTAAAGGCCAAAAACATCTGGGGACCTCAGGTTGAGAACCACTGCTCTAGGCTAAGTGAGAATTTGTAAGTTAAAACATACTTATGTTGGGACATTCTTATGTAGAGGTTCTAGTGTATAAAGATCAATGCTCTGACATTGCTCTTTGCAGAAATTGCTTTCTCCCCAGATTGTTGGGGAGTTTTGTTCATTTATTGCAAAACTTAGAAAACCAACACACTCATGTTGTGAGACAAAACATTAATTGCTTTCTGTTTTGTATTTGAAAAACAAATACATTAAAATATAAGAAAAGATGGTAGAATTTGAAGGAACACCACAAAGTCTTTACTCTCAAAACATTTTAAAAATACAATTATCTTCCAGATAATGAAAAATGGGCCTGAAAATATTAGTTGTTACATGAAAAAGTAATGGCATTATTAGCTATTCATGATTTTTAATGCTGCTGTTACATTCAAATTAAAATGTCATATTATTACTTGGTATGTATTACTTTCATGCTTTGGTTATTTGTTTATATGATTGGTGCTAATAAAGGCTTTTTTCTCAATGTAAATAGAAGTTATAGGTAGGGTGGTTTCAGGACCTTAGTAATGGTAGAATAATGCTCCCTCCAGCTGCTGCTATTACTTTTTTTGTAAAATATTTTGTATATTAACAGAATTTTCACAATAAATTATACACCTAGTTATTTGACACATGTTGTTGTTGAACGTCAGATGCAGTCATGCTTTTATTGAACATTGTATGCCTGTGTGTGGGACAGCAAAGGGCCACCTCATCTCAAAATAGCCCTAATATTGAATCATGCTCATTGCCAGTGAGCACAGTCTTTGCAATGTTTCCTTAAATGACACATGGCCTGTCCAGGGCTTGTCCACAGTAAGAAAGAGAGGTAAAGACTGACAACCTTATCAAAAACAATCTTCTTTGTGCCTTCTCCCCATTTCTCCATGCCACCAAATTCTGACAGGACTCCATAAGGCTCCATTTTGGCAACATGGAGAAACACAGCCCAGAGTGCCTTTGGAGGAGTTGGGTATATCCAGGGGCGGCTCAACCCATTACGCAAAGTAAGCACTTGCAGTATAGTTGGTTTTGCCCAGGGGCGCTCTTGAGGCGCTCTTGGGGGAAAATAGACCTTGACATATGCAAATTGCAGTTACTGGGATGTATAGTTCACCTAAAATCAAAGAGCATTCTGAACTCCACCAGTGATGGAATTGAACCAAATATGGCACACAGAACTCCCATGACGAACAGAAAATATATATCAGTGATTGGGGGGGGGGGGGAACCAAAAGACAGACCTAAGTGGGGAAAGGACATGAGATGGCAGAAGACAAACCTGGATGAGAGGGAACAGAGTAAGAACTGCTTCCTCCTGCTTTCCCTCTGCCTGTCTGATGAGGTCCTCACTGAGACTGGAGGAGGGAGAGAGGGAGAGATTTCCAGTGTTACTTTTAATAGTGTTGCAAATTGCTTGCACTGTTGGATACTTGTGAAGGACAGAAGAGTGACATCTAGAATTTTTTAAAAATCCAACATAATTAGATTAGTGTTTTTAAAATAATAATTTCTACACACAAAAATGGATAGCTTAAACCAACTGGATTTATTTTAGTGTCATAAGTCTGTATGCTATCCCCCCCCCCCAAAAAAAGTCAGATCTGTAAAAAATAAAAATGCAAATTGATTCCCCCCCCCCTTTGCCCATTGTATATCCTTCAGTGCTTAACTTTGCTCTGTTTGCATGCAGAGCTATGTACTGCAGAGATAAACTATCTGGATTTTAAACTTGTTATAGTCCTCTGACTTTCTCCCCATGCTTACTCATAAGAGGGAACCTCCTTTACTCCCCCCCCCCCCCCCAAGAACATGCTATCCCAGTCCATCCACTGGGACCCTTTGGACTCCTGCTGCTTCCACAGGGGAAGGGCACAGCATGACTGTGGATCATGCAGAGGGAAACATCTTCTATTGCTGGGAAGAGGTGTGCCAATAAGAGCCAACAGGAGTGGGGTGATCGAATGAAAGTAGCTATTTTTAGTTGGTTGACTTAGACTGAAAAGTTGATGGATGTAATGTGTTATTGCCTTGACATAATAATTCTAGAAAGGAATGTTTTGTAAAGCAGCACACTTTAGGTGTCAGGGAACTACAAAGAAAGAGAGAGATGAGGACTGTGTGTGAGCATTTGGTTTTAAGGGAAATGCCTTCCACATTTTTCCTTGTTCTCCAAGTTGAAGTGATCTGGATTGTTCTGTTATAGGCCACCAACTGCTTTGCAAATACACGTTGCTTTGCAAGACATATCTGGACTGTTTACCTCACCCTGGGCATCAGTCCAAGTCACGGACACCTGTTCTCTCGTCTCACTCATTCTCATGATCGTTTGTGATGTTAGGTATTTGTCATTTGTGGTTTGAATCATGTCTTCGTGTAGATATTTCACCATCCTCAACTCCTGTTGGGAAGGATGGAGCACAAATCAAGTCAAATCAATTATTCAATCAGTGTTATTTTCCATGTTTCTCTTTCTTGCATCTAATGTATTTGTCTCCCAACAAACTTCTTCCCTCTTTGTAAAAATATGCACAATCCAACTAGTTACCTATGGTTGTTCGAAAGACTTACCATTATTTTTTCTTAAGAAAAATGCCTAAACTCTCAAGTTCCCAATACACAAGACATATCAGGAGAGGAAATATACAATTTCTGCAGTAAATGTTTCACAGATACTAATGTAGTGGGCACAGTTACATGTGAAAGCTTCATGTTTGGAAAACATAAATGCCAAGGGTTAGAAATCAACAACTGGGCCACAATGACACACACAATTTCTGGATCAAAACCATGGTTCGATAATTCCTTTCCTCCGTTGTGTAGTAGCTGCCAAAAGGAGGCTACACAGAAACAACATTTTAGAGGAAGTTTTTATTCTTTATCAAAACAGTTCGGACCCCATGGGAAAACTAAATCCACCCCATAAATAGGTCATCGGAGCCTTGTTTCTACGGGTGGGCCAAATGTCACAAAGGGATTTCAGAATTTAATAACTACTTCTTTATCTTTAAATGTACAATATCATAACATTGTATACAGTATACACAGGAAACAAAATACATTGCATTATGTGTAAAATATTTTCATTTTTTTCAAAAAGTTATTAAAACATCAGACACCCTTGTGACTTTTTACCCATCCTGTATAATCAAAGAAGTCTCCACTCAGATTTGGAGTGATTTTCTATTTCTAGATCTCCTTCAACAGCTGCCCATTAAATCTGAATAAGTGAATACATTCCAATTGGGTGATCCTTTGCAAACAAATTACAGAAAGTGTTGCTGTGTAGGTTTCACACCTCTGTGCATCCAGTTTAGAATGGCCCTTCCTAGCCATCAAACACCATGAGATCGCCCTTAACTGCATCTTGCAAAAGTATACCATAACTCCTAGAATACTCCAGGCAACATAAGTAATGGGTTTCTGGGAGCTGTAGTCCAAAAATAATTTTTATAAGTTGTGTTATTAAAAACAGGATAAAAAACGGGTGCCCTGTGTGTGTGGGGGAAGGGGGGGGTGAGCAAGCAATGTTTCCTCCATAGCCAAACTCTCTAGAAACCTCTTGAAAAGCTCGTACTTTAAAAAAAAACTTAAAAAGCTCCTGGCTCTCTTTCTCACTTTTTTAAATAAAATGCACCAAAGTTTAAAATATTTGCTTTAGAAGCACTGTACAATTTTTGGACCAGTCATCTCATGCATTAAACTTTTGTGGTGCTTCATGCTTCTCTGTAGTATTATACATGAGTCATTCCAGGCTAGAATGTAATGCACATCCTAGAAATGCATCAGAGTATTTTAATTCTGTTCGTGTTTTTTTTGCTGGCTACTGTAGTGACTCAAATGATCACCAAAGAGCTTTTCTTTCTTACACCTTATTCTTTTTTTCTATAGTAAAAAATAAATGGACAAATAAAAATCAGGCACATTCATTTTGCAAAAGACTTCTTTTGTGGAACTTACTGCCACAGAATAGAAAACAGTAAAGATTCCGACTTAATCTTTACAACTGGAATATTAATTACTTCTTTTCCCATCTATTTGGCCTAATTATCCTGAGAAAGACCTGGTCTTTCCTGGTCATTGGTACCTGAAAAGGAGTAATGAATCAATACTATTCTAATTATACAGATTAGCTAAAAGACATCCATCATTGTGGCTTGTGGAAACCTTTTCAGATCCCCCAAGTTTTCTGAAATGAGAACACACTATTTTTTTCTTAGTTGTTCTGTAGCAGAAGGAAGACTGGTGGTTTTCTAAAAGGTGTGCTTTTTTTGAGCAAAGTGACTGAATTAAGTAGGGGACATATTACAGAAAAGCCAACTCAACCATCTAAAATTAAGGCTGTTTTACTTCAAAAAAAATCTTCTTTTGGTGCCTGTTTAAATCCAAAAAGCTATATATTGCATGCTCAAAAAATACAGGAGACCAATCCAGGAGACCAGTCCCCTCCAGGGTGAGAAGGGCGGGGTAGAAGTAACCGAAATAACTTAAAATACTATACATTCGTATGCATTACAGAACAGAGAGAGTCTTTATTATTAAAATTTCAATACTCCTAAACATTTGAATGTTTGTAAATATCATCATCTCCATTGCTAGCAGAAGACTTGAGAGATAGATTATAGTTATTTCAGCAGTACAAGAGACATCCATGCATCGGAATTAAGCCTGTCTTACCTCTTTCCCAGGCGGTTTCAGAAAAGTCATTTCCCACCCCCACCCAGTAGATCAGGAGAAACGTTTGTTGCTAAAACAGCTTTAATAGTCTGTCTACTTTTCAGGGCACAGTCAAAGTGTTCCACTGAGGCATCATAACATTTTCCTAACACTCTCTACATTACATGTGTCCCTCTGGCAGAGAAAACATAATTGTGCAAACATGTTAGCTATTCAGGTAGTCATCATTATTCTTTGTATCAACAGCACAGTCAGTATGTACCTTAAAATATTTGCCATGTTGAGTTGCAAAGGTCCCCCTCTCTTCATCTGACACAGGCTAATTCCATCATCTTCACTGAGGTCTAGAGTTACAGCAAGTAAAGGTTGCCATTTACGTGGAACATGAAGCTCGCTAAATCGACTCTGTTAGGTACAGTCTGTGGTATGCTTTCTTTCAAGGACACAGGCAGTACAATAGGAGGTTCCCGGCAAGGGACAATGAGAAATGCTTGATGTGCCGATGCAAGGAAAGAAAAAAGAAAAAGTTTTGCAGATTTGATTAGTCACAGACATGGTTAAAATGTTCCTTATAGGAATCTCTAGGTTCTTCAGTATGGCTCCATAGCCAATGCCCTGCAGTCATACTGGATGGCCAGGAGATTTTTAGAGAAAGCACCTCTCAAGGTATCTCTAAATCCTCCGGTGTGATTCTGTGATCCATTTCCAGCAAAAGTTGGCCATCGAGTCATGCTGGAAGACCTAGAAATTCCTAGAGAGGTATCATCTCACATAAAAAACAGCAATTTCTTTATTTGGTCCCCCCCCCCCCACTTTCATGAGGGCCCTGTGTCACTAATGTGGAGGGCTGACTGTTTCCAGTAACTGAGGTAAGCATAAGTGAGAGGAGAAGAGAAAAACTTTGGCATTCTAAAAGTATCTGAAAAAGTAGGATGACATAGGATTAATCAGGACTGTTGCTGCCAAATTGGGACAGATGGAAGTTATCTTTGGCCCACAGTTGGAATTGTGTGGCTATCCAGGTATTGTTGAACTTAGTTTCCATTCTCCCTCACAATTAGCTAAGTTGGCTGAGGTTTCTGGGAGCTACAATCCAGCTACCAGAAGACTCCGTGTTTCTCATCCCTGTTCTAGGATCATAATTATTGGAGAGTATCAACACCTATAAACTCACATAAGCTAAGAAAGATCTCCAATATGTGGAAGGGTTAGCATGTTGTGTTCTCATTTCTCTTTGCTCCCACCTGCAATGCTGATCATTTTAGCACAGTCTTTTCCATTTCATACTATTGGTTTGCCATTCAGTTTTCACCTAAACTGCTAAATGTGCTCATTGATTTCCCTTTAGGGGAGAAACAAGAATTCCATTTTAACATCTGAACCTGATTTATTTTTCCTTGTAGGCTCATAAGGAAATCTTGACCAAGTCCTTCCCTATAAATACCAGCATCTTGGCTGGGTCAGCAGCATGTCACAGTAAGTGCAGAGGCTGTTCCTTTGTGCATAATCACCCAATAAATTCTCTCCCCCCCTTTAGAGAGTCATGCTTATTGCTTAGTTGGTTTCGTTGTTCCCTCATAGAACCAAGCGGAAAACCACCAGTCTGTCGCTGACCATTGGGTCCTCATCCAATGAAGAGTTCAGCAGTAGCAGCAAGGCATGGCACAGCTATTCCACTTTAATACAGCCATTATCCACTGATCTTCAAAGAGTAGGTTAAAAGAGTTCATTTTCTCTCCTTGTTAAGTTAAAATATTTGTGCAAAAATCCTTTCCAATACTGAACCAAATGCTAGGTTCATTCCTCTTTTCCATTCAACCTTCCTCACTTTTAAACCATGTCTGACTAGGGCTTTGGCATCAATCAATAGGAGGATTAGAAGCAGTCATGTGGCTGCCCTGGAGCTTAGCCATTTGTCATATTCCTCCAAAGACATTTCAGAAAGGACGGTGGGATCAAAGCGGCTACTTAGTGCAGAGATGGAGAATTCAAAATATCCAGGGATTTAAATACCTTTCAAGTGATTGGGAGAAGTGCAGAGAAATTGCATACGTTTCTTTTTATAAAATTAGACTAAAGCAAAAAAGCAAATGCATTTCTAGAAACAGCAATGATTTATATCATTTTGGATTTTGCTGGGGAGTTGGACATTTCAGGCATTTGCTATATGATTAGTTTACTTGAGTTTATTTGAGTATACAAGTTGAGCAAGAGGTGTAAACAACCACATTATCACTGAGAGCCTTTAAAGAAAAACAGTTGTTTCCCATAAAGCAAACCACATACTGTATACCAAGTCCTCAATGTTCCCTATGGTTTCTTCAAGCTTCTTTCCAAAAGGGTAGTCACGTGAAAAACTAGTTGCTAGTAGTGTCTATGGAATATTTTTCTACCTGCTGTCCCCTTCTGTATATGCATTACTGTGTAATACTGTCTAAAAGAAAAATACATTTAGAAATTATGGATACTTAAGTAATAAGAAAAGGGACTGGCTTACATATTACAGCCAAGGAATGGTGGCAGCAACCATATAACAAAGGATCCATGTGTAGCAGCTCTTCAAGAAAGCTAGATCTTTTTTTTTCAATTTTTGGTGACCAAAAATAAAGCCGTGTTATAACAATTGATTGAAGTAAGAATGGTGGCGAGAATGGTTCACCATGCAGCAAAATGCTATTGGTTGATGTGAAGCATAAACCCCCGCTAGCTGTTCCGATGTGCCTTCCCAGAATAGGAAATATCAAATACCAAGTCCCATAAGCACTTTATTAAAACTAAGATTGCCGCACGCTGCACACTGCACTTTCCCTATAAGCCTTATATTCCACCTGTCACATCAGCACTTTTAATCCTGTACCCATTACTCTGGCCAGGCCCAGTTTCATTGTGTCTTAGTGTATTGTTTATTGCTTGTTGTTATATTGCTTCAATTTTTTTTAATTTGCCTTGGGTTTTGTATTGTTATGTTGTGTGTTGAGGCCTTGGCCTTTGTAAGCCGCATCGAGCCCTTTGGGAGATGCTAGCAGGGTACAAATAAAGAATAATAATAATAATAATAATAATAATAATAATAATCTCCCAAATTTATATTTCTTGAAACATTTTCTCCACAATAGCACTCATTAGTGCTTTGACTATCATAGCATAGATATATTTGACTATTATACCATAAAACACTGAAGGAGATCTGCTACGAATCATGATGTCAGGTAGCTACTTTTAGAAGCATTAAAAAACACATATAAAACACATATAAAACAGTGAGGGCTTTTTGGTTTATGTCCATAGCAAAAGGAAGAACAAGATAATGGTAGGTCCAGTGCGTGAGGAAAATGATGAAATATTAACAGGGGACAGAGAAAAGATAGAACTACTTTATACTTACTTTGCCTTGGTCTTCTCTCAAAATGAAAAAAAATCAATGTGGGGGAAATGAAGCAGATGATGTAGTAGAGGAAGTGCATTATAGAATAAGCAATTTTCCCCCTTTTCAAAAATAGAGGAAAAGGGAACCCAAACAATTACGGACCGGAAATGGCCAACTAATCTTATCTATTTTTTGATAGTGTTACAAGTTTGGTAGATGAAGGGAATGCTATGGATTATCACATATCTCGATTTCAGTTAGGCCTTGTTTGTTTGTTTGTTTGTTTGTTTGTTTGTTTACTATATTTTTACGTCATCCTATCTCACCCCGAAGGGGACTCAACAAGGCCTTAACAAAGCTTCCCATGATATTCTTGCAAGCAAGCTAATAAAATCTGACCTAGACAATGCTACTGTTAGGTAGATTGGGAATTGGTTAACTGGCTGAACCGAGACAGTTCTTATCAATGACTCCTCTTCATCTTGGAGAATAAAAACTAGTGGGGTGCCATAGACTACTATGCTTAGACAGAAAAAGTGAAATGCACAGATATAGGATGGGTGACACCTAGCTTGAAAACACTCATGTGAAAGGGATCTAGGGGCCCTTCTACACATGCATAAAGAGATAAAATATTGCAACGGGTATGAATATATGAAACGTCTTTTTTTAGACAATACATTCTCTTCTTCTTCTTCTTCTACTTCTTCTACCTGTGTTAAATCACGTTAAAAGGGGGAGCGGTGGTTAAACGATGTTTAGCCAAATTACAGGAGGAATCAGGTTAAGGGCTGGAAAACATGTGTTTAAAATGTGCCCTTTAAACCCAATTATTCCTGAGAAACACACACTTTTCCATGCTTTTGTATCCCAGCAGGAATGGAAAACACATGGAGAGTTAGGGTCCTGCCACACAGCCATATAACCCAGAGTATCAAGGCAGAAAATCCCACAATATCTTCTTTGAACTGGGCTGAGTCCACACTGCCATATATTCCAGTTCAACACAGAAAATGTGGGATTTTATTCAGCTGTGTTGAAGGGGCCTCTGAGTCAGGATAGGACTTAGCTAGAAGATGAGTACGAGAGAGATTGAGAGGTGTGAATAAACGGCACATTCGGGGGGGGGGGAGGAAGGGCAGGGTAGAAATGCATGAAATAAATATATAAATAATCTGTGAGGTATGCTCAAATTCTGTTTAATAAATTATTATTATTGTATCACCTACTATTGCCTGCAGTCTGGAAAAGTATCAGAAATCTTTTATTGGAAGTACTGCAGTATTGAAAAGCTTGATTCCAGATACTCTCTTTGTGGTTGTAGTAATTAATAAAGAGTAGTGGCATTCAGGGGGAACAGAAATAAAATCTCACACAGGATCAGTGAGGGCACATAGGAGCTCCTCAAAGTTGGGATCCACATGTGTGAAACAGGAGGAAGTCCACACATTGATGGAAGAGGTGAAGATAAAGAAGAGACCTCACACTTCTTGCCAGAGAGAGCATTGATGGAAATCCTAGCAGGGTAGCAGAGGTGAGATAAGAGGAAGCACTCGTTGTTTCTCATGTTACAGATATAAAAGTGAGTCTACGTAATTGTGACCTACTTTACCCCTTCAGTTAAGCATGTGGATTGAATGGAGCTTGGATCACAGTGCATTTGTTCAACACCAATTAAAACAATTTCAGATTGTTATGGCCAGAGACTGAAACAGTTTGCCTTTCCTGCAACTCCCAACTATGCTGGCTGCATGGGTTCTGGGAGAGTTGGTCCAAAAGGGTAGATGTTCCAAGCTCTGGCCATGATATTCTTGGATGGCAACAGTCATGAGTGAGAAATCCACTGTCTTTTCAAGGGTGACTTAAGATACCTGGCTATTCTATGGGACACACTGTATGATTGAAACCTTCATGGGACTTTGTGCAATAAATCATTAATGGAGGATAGTATATTGTAAGGGATGGTGTATCTGTTTTGGTCATGAGCAATAAACATCCCTCTGCCAAGCACAAGTAACTTGTAGAAATTAATATGGATTAAATTGACATATTCAGCACACACATTCAAAACTACCAGTGACAATATAGTAAAACCATCTTACCCTATTATTATTATTATTATTATTATTATTATTATTATTATTATTGTGTGTGTGTGTGTGTGTAATGGATATAGCACCTACAATGTGTCCCATTTCTCTTACAGATGCAGAATCCATCAAAAAACCAGCCTGGATCTGCCCATGAAGCAGCCCCTATATTCATAAAGGTGTGGCATAATCTGTTCAAGAGTGGTTTGGAGGAAACTATAACTATAGTACGACCCCTGTATCCATAAGACCAGTAATTGCAGTTTCCATACACAGCATTTTCTAAGTCCTCCAGTGTGATTTTATGATATTCTGGGGCTGGGAGTTCTTCATTTCAACAGGGTTCATTATTATAGATGATTTGTGTTTCCACATGAAGTCAGAGAACATTTCCCCATGTATATGGGCTGGGGGTGACACTGAACACAAAACTAGAGGTGGTTGTTGCTTGGCACCTGTAGTAATGCCAGCTGGTGTAAGGATTCATAGTGCTATAGTGGTGTAGTGTGACAGGGCCCTGGTTTTTCTCCAAGACTTTGACATGCAACTGCAGATATCCAGTCCAAACTACATACCTCGGATACTTGTAGTGTGGGCCATCAGTACTAAGAGGTTGTATGATGAAAACTACTGAACTCTCACCACCCTATTCTCCTCCGTAGTGGTTTAAGCATTATGACTCTGGAGGACAGGGTTTAAATCCCTGCTCAGCCATAAAAATCTCCTGGGTGACCTTGGACAAATCAGACATCAACCTCAGAAAACCCCATGATAGGGCTTTAAAATAACCGTAAATCAGAAATGACTTAAAGGAACACAGCAACAACACCCTTCCACCAGGTATTTCACCACAGGATTTCACATCTGAATTTGCTCTTGCTATTTTAGGGGAAGCAGTTCACAGGGAAAGGGGCTTTTGATAGTAATGCCTCTCATCATATTTTTAAAAACATTTCAATACATGGCCATCAAATAAAATAATTCTATAATCTCCCTTTTCCCACTTTTGAGCCTGAATTTCTGTGTGCCAAAGATTAGTTTTTTAAACACTAGTGATCACCTGTGCTCCTTCCAATGCTGATAGACTGCAAATCCCACTATCGGTCCAGTTGTAGATGTAGGATCAAGGGGGTTGGAGTCTGATAAACTTTGTAGGAGCCACCCCTGCCTGCCCTTGATGTGGAAGAGCGACAACGCTACTTGGGGAGACTTTCATGACTAAAAAGCAGGATATTAAAAATAAACATTCATTTATAGAATTTCATATCACTTATCACTGAATAACTACATCTCTATATATCTGGCAGACTCTGAGCAGGGTCTGCATGTTAGAGTGCAGATCTTGATTAAAAAGCAAAAATGGCATCCTGGAGATTCATTATAACCAAGCTTTATTATAGGAACTCCATTCTAAGATAGAATAATAATACAGTGTGCTGATCTAAACTAGATGGATCTAGGAATGGATGTAGAGGTCGGTCCAAAAGAAGGCAAATGCTAAATCAATCCTCTGTATTTAGTCCAGCATTGCAATTAGTCAGTCCCCGCGGTGAATTGGAGCGGCAGCAGAGTAATCCTGGCACCCTAGCTGGTAGCAGATGCTTCCCCATCACATGTGGGGAAGTGTTGCTATACAGCTTAATCCCACAGCAGCTCCGTTGTTCCTAATGGAACGCAGGCAGACTAGCGTGTTGACCGTGCAATGTCCTACCATGCTGCCTTCTAGTTCACCCACAGAGCCCTGCCAGAAGTCAGTCTATGTTGTCTGATGGGCAGCATGGGGCCCTGTGAGTGTACTGGGGCAGAAGCATCCTAGGAGACTTATTTATTCACATGTGATAAGGTCATTAACCTCTGTCAAGATGCAAACCGGTCAGACAGTCCAGACATGTCATGCTGTACAGCCGTTCTCCACCACGATTGTTAGAGACAGTCCAAAAGTCAACACAGTGATCAGTCCAAACAGATGGTCAAAAGAAGAGAGTACTCCAGCATCCATTCCACAAGGTCAATATCAGAGTGTCTCACCAAATGTTCAAGTCAAGAACAAAAATACATAGTCTGAGGTCCAAGGCACGAAAGTCATCAACAAGATATCAGTTGTACCTTGTTGCTCCAGTAAAGGGCTGCTACAAACACCACTTATTTGTGCTGCACCTGAAAGGACCCTCTTCTGAGCCAGTTATTTGGACTTTCGCTGCAAAATGGCAACAACCTTCAACTGGCGCCGGGCAGGCGAGTCGGTGCCTGCTTTTCACCCTGAACAACTTCACCTTGCCCTGACTCAGTTTACTTCCATGTTAGAAGGGCCCGGCTCCTGCTCAGAAGCAGTGAGCTCCAAAGTGCCCGGCTGCTCAGGTGGCTGCTCAGCATTTGCCCCACAATCAGCTGCTGGAAGAAGACCCTCTTCCTCATTATCCTAATTCAGCTCCTAAATTCTCACAGTCCAGAACTATCTGTTGTACATAAAAGTGATAGATAGTGATTTGCAGTGGCAGCTGGATGAACAATTAGTTATTGCATATATTTTCAATGGAATCCTTATCATTTTCAGAAATATGTGATGATTTCAAAAGTGCACTCTCAACCACTATGGCTTTATGAAGACATTTGTAAACTTATAGCAGAGACAATTAACAGATCTGGAAGCTAGGGAAACCCTCCCTCTATAGCTGACTCTACTTTCAAAGCAAAAATACAGCCATGCCATTGAAAACAGGGCCCATAACATATTGGAGTGATGCATGAAGGGACACAACAACAAACAAGAGCAAAGGTATTTTGTTGCTTGAGCCAAAGAACAAAATGTTGCCCCACTTCCCAATTCCACATTCAGAAGCCAAGAGGACTAGCAGATGGATGTCATTTCTACACTGGTGACAAGATATGTCTTTAAGATATGTCATCCATGCTACCTGAGGCAGTGCACTTGTCTGGGAGGCCCAAAATAGACTGTGTGCTGTGTACACAGTTCGGTCACCCAACAAAGAGGAACTAAAAGAGTTCAGATATCTGCTGTAGGAGCAATTTGCTTTGTTCCATGAAATGATGGGGCTGGATGCAACTCTGAGCATGAGACCATGATCAAAATCTTGTTCCTTGTTCATGCTGAACCTAAGGAAAAGGGATTCATTTTTTCAGAAATGGATTTGCTTTTTCATCTGCAGTCCAATATCCCATCTCCAGGCAGGTTGATCTCTAGTATCTGTGAGAAAGCCAAGGGATGTAGTTGAGTGCAGAGAAAGAAAATAATCTGTTGAACATGATTAAATATGTAATTGAGACCACATATATATTTACTCCCAGGTAAGTGCCATTAATTCCAATGGAGCTAACCTCTGGGTACACACATACAATTGTATTGTGTAGTACCCAATTTCATATACTCACGTCCGAAAAATATGTTATCTCTAGGCATTTTTAGGTTCTTCAGCATGTTTCTATGGTTTCTACCCAAAGGAAATTGACCAGAGAGTTGTGTTGAAGGACCAAGAAATTGAAATTCTTAAAACCATTTTCAAGGGCCTTCAGCACAATTCTATGGTATGCTTCCAATAGATTTGGTTCAAATTTCAATAGGATTTGCTATTATCTGTGGTTTCGCATTTCCACTGTAAGGCCAAAAACATATCCCCCTGTGAGACGGGGGTTGCACTGTACTTCATTCAGCTTTGTTTAAGTCAGTGGTTGTACTGGTTGGGGCATTCTAGAAATTATAGTCCCCAAAAGTAACTTTTTGGACTTCTGGGGTAGATGAATGCATTTTTTTTGCATCCAAGAAGTTTTGAAATGGCTTTTTTTTGGTTGTGTCAGGAGCGACTTGAGAAACTGCAAGTTGCTTCTGGTGTTAGAGAATTGGCCATCTGAAAGGACGTTGCCCAGAGGACACTCGGATGTTTTGATGTTTTATCATCCTTGTGGGAGGCTTCTCTCATGTCCCCGCATGAGGAGCTGGAGCTGATAGAGGGAACTCATCCACACTCTACCCGTATTCAAACCTGCGACCTGTCGGTCTTCAGTCCTGCTGGCACAGGAGTTTAACCCGCTCCACTGAAAGGGCATTATTCTATATTTTTCAGCCTCTGTTTTTGGAAGAAACAGGGATTTGACTGTGTAATCACATTTGCTTTTAGCACTAACATTTTTTTCCATAACAAATAGCATTTTTCTCTTTCAAAGTACTGTTTCAAAGCTCAGCGTAAGTATCTAAAATTTAATCTCATACATAAACTCTGTATTGTTCCTCTCCCCATTGTCCAGGGCATCCAGAATATTACAGCAAGCAAAGGTCAGCTAGTGGTATTTGAATGTCGAATTCGAGCATCACATAAATTTCAGGTTCGCTGGTACAGAGAACATAATCAAATAATGGATTCTGCAGACTTCCGAATATTAAGAAAAAGTAGGTATCTCTTTAAAAAAAAAAAAAAGCCTGGATCTGCAGAATAACTTTTCTTTTTTAAATAGAAATGATACTCTAATGTACAAGAAAGCTTTTCTTTGATAATTTTCCAATCTATTTAGTAATAAACTAGAAATGAAAGAAATTGAAACTTCCAATTATCCGCTTGTCCTGATCACAAATGCCTTTACCATGATCGTGCCCTAGCCCCATTGCATTTTTAATTGCATCCATCCTATTCTGTATTGGCTAGAGTGGGAACCCTATCACACTACACAATTATAGCATGTCGATTCCATTTTAACTGCCTTGGCCCCATTCTATGAATTCTATGATTCGTAACTTGGTGTGGTGCTACAACATTGTGAGGGAGAATTCTCAGTCCCCATCCCTAAATTGCCTGTCCCAAGTTTCCATAGGAAAGAACCATGGCTGTGGAGTGACCCATGCTAGTCAAAGTGGCACCAAGGAGCTATTACAGTGTAGTGTGAAAGGGCTCCTTGCGTCAAACTTCAGTAGTCGTTTTTTTGGAAGGAATGAGGGGTCCTGAAGGGATCATTTAAAAACCTAACAATTATTAAAATATTTAATGTATTTTTTTTAAAAAAAACAACTTTATTTTGTCAAACCTTTATTTTGTCATTTTATATAAGGGACACCATTTTAATACCCCACTGTATATAATGGGATTTTGTTATCCACAGGGTGTCCTGGAAACAAACTCCAGAGGATATCAAGAGCTCACTGTAATTCTCCACTAAAAATAATTGTAACCATAATTATATTCAGCAGTAATTGTACCTTCCATTTCACCCTTCCTTGCCGCTTTCAAAAGCTGCCTCACGTGTTCCCACTCAATTGTCTTGGCTAGCTTACCTTCCCCCTCTAGGTCTGTCTCTTTCACCCAAAGTGTTGGATTTGTGTCAAACTCTTGTATAGCATCAAGGAAAAAAAATGATGTACCTTTTAAAACTCTCAAAAAGTCAGTAGCTTTGGCTGAGTAATGATTTTCAGGAGAATAAAATGATAAAGATTTTCCCTGACATTAAGTCTAGTTGTGTCTGACTCCAGGAGGTGGTGCTCATCTCCATTTCTAAACCGAAGAGCTTAGAAGAGCCGGCATGACTGCATGGAGTGCCGTTACCTTCCCGCAGAAGCGGTACCTATTGATCTACTCACATTTGCATGTTTTTGAACTGCTAGGTTGGCAGAAGAAGGGGCTAACAGCGGGAGCTCACCCCACTCCCCAGATTTGAGCCACCAACCTTTCGGTCAGCAAGTTTAGCAGCTCAGTGGTTTAACCTGCTGCGCAACCAATGGGCCCTATGCAGGAGAATATTTTACCATTTAAATTTATATAAATCTTTTCCATTGGTTGAAACATGGTATAAATTGCATCTTTATGATATTTACAGTACGAAATTGTTTCCTCCAAAAGTATACAGGCAAAAAGAAAATCACAGAATAAATTTCTATGCAGGAATATACAATTGAAGCACCTGTTGTTTAATAACCTCTAAAGATGGGGAGTCCACTACCGTCTGCAGCTGTGTAGCTGATGGTTGATCAACTCTTACAGCCAAGACATTATTCTTATTGTTTAGATGAAATCTCTTTTCTTGTAATTTGAATCCCTTACGTTTGTGGTCCAGTTTCTGGAGCAATGGTACAGAATGAACTTTCAAATATGCTTTTGCAAGGTGAAAAAAGGATCATAAATTTGAATGAAATGTTTGAAAGGGATTTTTTTTTAAAAAAAAACCTAGCTTTAGTAAAATTTGTGTATATGTAAGAGAGAGAGATGGCTATCATCTTTGTGGCTGGCGCGCTTCAGAAAAATAAAGGTTTTCTACTCAGTGAAACTATAAATTATTACCCTAGCATTTAGTCTGCAACTAGTTTTGTTTAGACAATAAGGCTATAAAACAACTGCCTGTAATTACAATAAACTTTTTGTTGTTTTCATTTACAGAGGCCTCCTTATCAATGATGCCTGGTATGTAATTTTTACATAATTAGGCAAATTGTGGAGAATTAGGCACATGCAATCTGTAATCTGCATCTAGACAAATTCAATTCATGTCATGAGATCTAGCTGAACCCTAGAATATAAATGCATATCATTTGCTCATTATGGTGCATATATGTAATGCTGTTTTACCAGGCAGATATTTCTTGCTAGATCTTAGAAGTAATGTTTAACAAGTTGTCTGTGGGGAAATTCAACATTCAACCCTCTTACACCCAAGCAACAGAAAAGCAAGCAACAAAACATACCCATCAGTTTACCATGTGAAAGGGTTTCTGCTCTTAGGAGACTTATGGTGGATGAAATCCCTTGAAAATAAGGGTTATAAAGAGAACGTGGCCCGGCATCACAGCTGATGCCTGCACAGTTATCCAAATATTAAAGCTTTGTTGCAAATACAAATAATTAAACACATTGTATACTTCTGTAGTATTCATATTTCTTTAGTCATGGGTTTATTTTCTAAGATATGGAAGATCAGATAAACTTCCTGAGAGGTCATGGGCAACTGTTTTGCAGGGTGGTGGTATGGCATTATGTTAGAAAAACATGTAAAGTGTCTCATTAACTTATCTCCTCCTTTTAGAGGAAGTTTGCACCTTGGTAATTACAGAAGCCTTTCCTGAAGATTCTGGAATATTTAAATGCATTGCTGAAAATGAGTTCGGCACAGTGGCATCCAGCGCACACCTTATTGTTTCCCAAGGTAACTGTACATTCTTCTCTCCCACCAGCTCCCATTTCTCTCTCCTACTCAGTTTCACCCATTTATTGAAAGTATGACCTCAAGTCCTATGAGCCCAAACCTCCTCCAACTCCATGGCATCTCTTGTTTAAACTTGGAATATAGCTCCCAGTTCTGTGTTTCAACCATGAGCTGTGTAACAAAACTAGTGATCACACTTAGAACCACAGAATCATAGATTTGGAAGAGACCACATGGGCCATTTAATCTAACCCCCCTGCCATGCATGAAAGGAAGAACCAAGGTGTCCCTGACATATGGCCATCCAGCTTCTGCTTTAAAATTTCCAAGGAAAGAACTTCCACCACACTTCAAGGCAGAGAGTTCCACTGTTGAACAGTTCATTCGGTCAGGAAGTACTTCCTTAAGTTCAGGGGGAATCTCCTTTCCTGCAATTTGAACCAATTGCTCCAAGTCCTAGTTTCCAAGGCAGCAGAAAACAAGCCTGCTCCCTCTTCCTTATGACACCCTTTCACATATTTATGCATGGCTCTCATGTATCCTCTCAACATTGTCTTCTACAGGTTTAACATACCAAGCTCTTTAAGTCGCTCCTTATAGGTCACTTAATGAGAAATACGCAATTAAAAAGAGTACATTGAAGATATTCAGTGAGGCTTTGGTCTGGTTTGCCCAGTTTGAAGACATTTCTTGAAAACTGGCAGTAAAGATTGAAGCACTGAGGTAAAACTTGAGGATCCCATTCAAGAGAATGACAAGGAAGGTCTTCAAATGTATCAATGGGACTTTTGATATTATGTGTAATAATGCATCTTCATATGTGCAGATGACCTCCTTCTGGCACATTCATTAAATACATACTGCAATAAAGATGCTACCCCCTTCCTCCCAAATATATGTAGAACTTTAAAAATGCAGTTTTCTTTAAACCTCTTGGGAGGGAAAGGTGTCACAAACATTTCAATGGAAACCACACTGACATGATATTATTTAAATTAGTACAGTAGAGTGCCACTTATCTGACATAAATGGGCCAACAGAACGTTGGATAAATGAAAATGTCGGATAATACGGAGTCTCCTACTGTTACCCATCCGACGTGATGCTAGACACCTAGAATACTAACAACAGATACTCAAAGGGTTAAGGCAAGTCAATGCCTTGAGGCTAGAGCAACCCAGCAGGAAGTGCCCGGATGCAGAAGAGGAGCGTGGAAATCACAGAGGGAAGTGGGGGGAGGATGCTTCTGCTTCCAGTCCTGCCTCTTTTCCCCCTTTCCTCCCTCCTCCTCCTTGTCGTGCCTTTTTCACTTATTGGGAACGGAGAGAGAGTTGGGGAGCACTCCTTTAATTGAAGGGGAAATGCTGTAGGAAAAGGGGGGAATCGGACAAGAGCATCAGATAAGATGAAATGTTGGATAAGCGAAGGTCGGATAAGCGAGATTCTACTGTATGTGTTCTTATTTGAGAATAAAGTAGAAAGCCATCTTCAGTGTCACAATACCTGTTGTAGGGCGTAATGTGGCCTCAAGTTAACTACACCACTAAAAACTGGGTGGTCTAAGAATCTTCAGATGATAGAGCTTCTGTTTTATAATGTAAAAAGAAGGGACAGAAGAGCAATCAGACAGCGAGACAGGCTCACATTACTGCCTACACAGAAAACTTGTCTGGAAGCTCCACACAAGCTATTCAGTCCCACACCCTTCCTGCAAAAACACAAAGCATTTTGTTTATATAAAGCTAATTAATTAAGAGACATCCATAGGTGATCTCACTATCTTTGGAAAGTACCAGAAATAGAGCTTTCAATCATACCAACTTTGACAGAATTCCAAAACACAAGACCACCCACCTACACACATATATTTTTTTCAAATAGCTACAATTAACTTTGGACCAATTAAGCTTTTCCTCCCCCACAATGGCCACTGGATTATATACTAGATCCCTATACAGGTTCCCATGTTCAGTTCCATCCTAGATTTTTAAATGTTTAATAAATACCATAAATACGTTACATTTCTAAACAGCTGGATATTCTCAGTATTTTTATGTATTTATGAGTTTCACTAGAAGTATAAACCTATATTAAGAAGATACAGCTCCGTTTCCCAGCTGAGCAAATGGATTGCCAAAGGAAAGGGGGGGGGGGGGTTCTGATCTAAACAGAGAATGGCATATAATGGAGTGAGTCACTCTTTGGGTTTGATTTCTATTTCTGTAATTACTTTTTAGAAACAGAAGAGACTGCAAGTTTCAAAGCAGCTCCCTTATGGTCAGATATGCCAGCCACTACACTGTATACCCACTCTGCACCAGAGAGTCAATACATATTAATGGGAAGAGATCTACAGAACAAACCTGATACAATGCCAGAAAAGCCCTCTGGCTCAGCAGAGCAAGAAGAGTATGGAAGTTTCTGGGGGCAGAACAATGGCCACGAGAACAAGGATTCAGACAATTCATATGCATGGTAAGGCAAAACAAATATTCCCAAGTCTCTTCAACTCAATAACAGCAATTTTTTCAGCTAGCTACGGTTCCAAAGAAAATTCATTTACCCACACACCCCTGCCCCGTGCGACACATTTCCAAATGCTCTGTTGCTTTTTTGTCTAGCTGCATGTATGTGCTAAATGGAGCTGTAATTCTATCATGCAATAACACTAGACGCTACATGTCTTTAATTCAGATTAATTTACTAAAAAAAAGGGGGAGGTGATTGATTATAGTTACTTATGTGCAATAGTGCAATGTGGCGCAAAATATGAATGACCACAACTTTCCACAGATTTACTATGATAATATTTGAGTGTTACTTCAAATAATTTCCCAGTAAATTAAGAGCAACACTCAAAAAAACAGGGAATTCCAGATAGGAAAAAATCAGGGCCAGTTAACACCTCCCAACAAAGGATTCCCCCAGGCATGAAGCAGCCAGGCTTTGAAGCTGCAAGGCCATTCAGTGCTAATCAAAGTGGCCAATTGCAACATTCACACTTGCCTCAAGCAGACAAGAGTTCTTTCTCCCACCCTGGACATTCCACAGATATCTAAACCTCACTTGCCTAGTTTCGAACAAACCTCTCAACCTCTAAGGATGCTTGCCATAGATGTGAGTGAAACATCAGGAGAGAATGCTTCTGGAACATGGCCATTAAGTGGCTTACCCTAGGTTAAAATGGATCCGCCCAAGTGTATTGTATACAGCTGTCCATGGATCAATCCATACTACACCAACCAAAACAATCCTTGTAGGTGAACATCAGATTTAGCGTAATTGTGTAATCTGTTCACATTTCACGCTACATAGGATTATTGTTGTATGCCTTCCATGTCATTTCTAGCATATGGGGACCCTAAAGCAAATTTATGGCATTTTCTTGGCAAGATTATTTCAGAAAGGGGTTATCTTTGCCTTCCTCTGAGGCTGAGAAAATCTGACTTGCGCAAAGTCATCCAATGCGTTTTTTGTTTGTGTGTGTGTGTGTCAGGAGCGACTTGAGAAACTGCAAGTCACTTCTGGTGTGAGAGAATTGTCCATTTGCACCATTGCACCGCTGACTTACCCTTGTACTGGCAGGCTTGAAGACCAACAGGTTGAAGGTTTGAATCAGGCGAGAACGTGGATGAGTTCCCTCTGTCAGCTCCAGCTCCCCATGTGGGACATGAGAGAAACCTCCCACAAGTATGATAAAACATCAAAAAACATCTGGGCGTCGCTTGGACAACGTCCTTGCAGATGGGCAATTCTCTCACACCAGAAGCAACTTGCAGTATCTCATGTCACTCCTGACATGAAAAAAAAAATCTTGTGAGTTCCATGGCCAAACAGAGATTAAACTTTGGTCTTCAGCCATACTCCCATTCTCTAACCACTATGTCATGTGGGCCTCATGCCCCAAATTATTGCCTATGTAAAAATGCTGATGTTGAAATATCATGCTACTGAAGCACTGATTATTCAGTCTTTCATAATAACAAATGACTAAAACTGAAAAGATTTAATAAAAGCCTTGTTTGATTCAGAGGCCATGTCTAGTCCAGGTTAATTTCGATGTCCTTGAGTTGTTATTGAACAGGCTGTAACAAAAGAATCAGTCATTTCTCCAGATCCAGGACTAAAATCAGAATACAGGGGTCATTTCAGTAAATATGTCCAAAGATGAAAATAGCTTGCTGCTTTTCCCTGTGCTTGGTAGTTGTTCCCAAAAGGTGATGTCAGTTCCAGCATTTGGCATTCTTGGGATACAGACACATGAAATCATATCATCAGAATTACTTGTCCTTGCAGCTGGTTATTTTGAAGGATGATTCTGTGAGCTGGATCACATGGAAATGTAGAATCCATTCTGGATTACAGATTGCCTCTGATAACATTCCAGGAATAAAAATAGGATGGCACAATCACATACTTGTTCAGTGGTACAATTCATAAAAAAGCTGTCCCTTCAGTGCAAAATACTACTTAGTAACAAAAGATAAGGGGGGGGGGGCAAAGTTTTAGGGAAACACGTTATTTTCTGTTGGTCACGGGAGTTCTGGTGGGAAGTTTGCCCCAATTCTATCATTGGTGGGGTTCAGAATGCTCTCTGATTGTAGGTGAACTATAACTCCCAGCAACTACAACTCCCAAATGGCAAGATCTATTTTCCCCCAAACTCCACCAGTGTTCTCATTTCGGCATATTGAATATTCATGCCAAGTTTGGTCCAGATTCATCATTGTTTGAGTCCACAGTGCTCTCTGGATGTAGATGAACTACAACTCCAAAACTCAAGGTCAATGTCCACCAAACCCTTCCAGTGTTTTCTGTTGGTCATGGGAGTTCTGTGTGCCAAGTTTGGTTCCATTATTGGAGGAATTGAGAATGCTCTTTGATTGTATGTTAACTATAAATCCCAGCAACGATAACTCTCAAATGACAGAATAAATCCCCCCCCCCCAAAACAAATTGGAGAAGACAAACTGAAATGTGTTTTTTGAACAGAGGGGAGGGGATATGTTTGTGCCCAACCCTCGCTACCCTGACACCTCAGATTCCCCTGTCAATGTCTATAACTAGTACTCTGTTCCATTACTAAGGTCATTTTAAAATAGCCTTTAAAGTATGCACCCGGAGATGACCTATCCAGGCATGGAGAATTTCGCCTATACCTTTTTTATATATATAGTTTGCTTGCTTTTCTTTTTCTAACCATTCCTTTTAATTCCACTTCCAACCTGCAGGACTCTTTCGCACTATACAACTATTGTGTTAGGATTCTATTAACTTTTATGGTTCTAACCTATGCAATCCCAAGACTGGTTGTTGTTGTTGTTGTTGTTGTTGTTGTTGTATGCCTTTGAGTCATTTCCAGTTTATGGACACACCTAAGGCAAACCTATCATTGGGAGTTTTCTTTGCCTTTCTCTGAAGCTGAGAGAGTGTAACTTGTCAAAGGCCACTCAGTGGGTTTCCAAGGCAGAATGAGGATCCAAATCGTAGTCTCCAGACTGTCGTTCAATGCTCAAAACACTACCACATGTTGGCGGTTGAAGGAGGAGCATCTAGATTTCTCAGCCAGATATCTCTTTTGTTAGTCTTATCAAACTACAAATGGCAGGATTACATAGGATGCAGATATGGCAGTTAAACCAGAATAATAATGCTGTAATTGTGAGGGAGAGTCTTCTGGCGAAGAATTCAGAAATTTTTGGGGGTAACGGAAGTGTGAAAAATTCTACATATGGTAAAATATGTGACAATTTTTTGTGCCAAAAAACAACCTGAAGGTATTCCTTTTGAATGTAAAGATTGTATAAAAAAAAGATTAGTACTATTAAGCTTAATTGACGGGAAGCCAGAAGAACACTGGACTGAAGCCAGGGACATTGTCAGGAGGAAAAGTAGAAGGACGTGACCTGCAGCTAAAAGGGAAAAGAATCCTCAGTGTCATTAGTCCATGGATAGTATTCAGCTTTGTATCTAATTTACATCTTCTCTCAAAGAAGCAATCAGATTCAGTGCTGGACTAGATGTGAGTAATTTAACACATACCTTTTAATGCATTTAAGATCTAGCTTGATGTTTGCAGAAGGTTCAAGTGATATATAGCGCATATTATGTTAGATGGTCCTGCATCTCCTCAATCATGCATCTGGATTACTGTGGGCAGGCCCGTAGCCAGGATTTCGTTTCGGGGGGGGGGGGGGGGGGGGTGAATTTTTGTTTCGGGGGGGGGCTGAGTTTCGGGGGGGGGGCTGAGTCTGAGTGAAAGAGGGTCTACCCTAGCAAACCTTTTGTATCATTACCCCAATACCCCCATGCATATGGGATATATTGAGTATGGTGATCAGATCATGATATGAATAAACATAACAGTTTAAGTAATGCACCAGTAAGGCCTTTTCGCGAACCACCATGAGAATTTCGGGGGGGGGGGCTGAAGCCCCCCCAGCCCCCCCCCCCCCCCCGGCTACATGCCTGACTGTGGGATACTCAAGTGAAAGCAGTGTCCAAATCAGTTTTCAGTCACTTTGGTTGCTGCATCGGTTGCATGAGTAGCTAGAAAGTAGGATATAGCCACAGCAACTAATGTCATAGTAATATTCAAATGACATGATTGTGACAAACCTACACAGGGCTGCTTGAAGAGTGTTTGGAAGTTACAGCTGGTTGAGTCAGACCTGGTACTGTCTGGTTTGTAGATCAAGTTGTGCTAAGTCGCCTGGATCATTTCCCCCCTCTCCATCCCTGAATAGCAGGATATAAATATTTTAATAAATAATTTCACAAGCAGTGTTTCCATGGAGTTGTCCTGTTTACCATGCTGACTGGGAGAGCTGTAGTCCAAAAATAATGATTCCAAGCTTGGTTCACAGGGTACAAAAGCATTTAGATTCTTTTACTAGTAGGATTTTGTATCCTCTCGGGCTTGGGAAGAGTTTACAATTATTACTGCTCTGCTTTAGCTGTTTTTGTCCCCAGTCATTTCATAGCCACCAAAAAGATGTGGCCTCTACATGCATCAACCTACTCTCCAAGGCTGTCTTAAAGTCCATCTATACTGCAGAATGAATGCAGCTTGTCACCACTTTGACTACCATGGGTCAATGCTAGAGAATCATGGGTGATGTAGTTTGGTGAAGCACTAGTAATATTTGACATAGAAGACTAAACACCTTCTAAAACTACAACTCCCATTTCCCATAGCATTAGCCATAGCAAATAAAGGGATGTCAAACTGCATTAATTCTAGATGTAGATGCATTTTTAAATAGCACCTTAAAAATCTCAAGAAAGGTGCCATTTTCTGGCTCTCCATTGCCACTTACTTTCTGACATCTATGCCCAACGAAGAAACCTCTGGGCTTCCAAAGTTTGCGTAATATATTCTGCATTTCTGGTTGGCCTAATGAAGGTGTCACCATAATGTATAGTTGGGGTTTTGTTGTATTTTAGTCTTCGTGTTGTGGTTTTAACTCATTTTT